GCATGATGGATTTAACATTATCAAGTTGATTATATAGCGAGCTGACAAATATTGTGAGTATAGAAAATATGTAGTAATTAATGAAAGAAGTTTAAACACACCATAATCATTTATATATAATGAATTATGTACCATTCAAACAACGAGGAGTGTGCCAATGCTCTTAATCAGGTTGGATAGACCTGAAGTCGTTGCTAGAGATGTGATTTAGGTATAAAGTTACTTAGCATTGTATCGCATTCATCCAAACAACTAACTTTCTCATGTTCGTACCTAATCACATGTTCAATTGATTTTGGTCACATGTTTAGGAAACATGATTCAATTAACTCATATTCGAGGACAAAAAATCATTAGTGTGAACATAGAAAAGAAGAAATTATTGGATAGTTGGACTATCAAAACTTGTTTACTAAGTAAATGGCAAGAGAAAGGTTATATAAAGTTTCTAACAAGCAATCCTAAGATTTTATTCTTCGTCATAATTATAAGCCATTTTGTGAAACCCCACCCCAAAAGATTTTGTAAATTCGCATTTTTCCCCCAACAGGTTTATTAAATTTTGCATTTTAGTCCCCTATCTTCATCCAATCAAAATCTCCTTTTTAGATTTTCTAAACCTGTCCTCCTATCATTGCTTGCCACGTGGCAAGCACTCACCTATCTCTCTCTTCTCCCCGTACCAACTCTCATTTCTCTCTCTCAAGTCTCAGCTAACTCACATCTCTCTCTCGCCGATCGAACCCACACCCACACACCGAGGTACCAGAGCCACCCCGACGACGGCGCAGCAGCACCACCACACGCATAGAGACTCTCAAAAGTCTCATCTCTCTCCGTCCTTTCTCTCTGCAGTCTGCACCGAGAGTCCGAGAGTCCGAGATTCACACATGCTTCAGGAATACACCCACCTCGGCTTTCTCCCTCTCCTTCTCGTCTCTGCAACTCGGTGAATGCAGGAACCCTCCGACGAGTTTCTTGAATTTCTCCGGTTAGGTAAGCTTCGGGTTTACCTCTTTCTGTTGAATCTGTTATAGATTGAAGCTTAGATGTGAAATTGAAGTTCTATCTCGTGTTTTTGCAAGGTTTTTGGGATGAAATCGGCTCAGGAATAGGCACACCCATCTCCGGCCTTCTTCTCCGATGTGCACAGATCCGAAATTTTACGAAAATATCGATAATATCGATAATATCGCGATATTTTCGATAATATCGCGATATTATCACGAAAACCATTTGGATAGTGATAAAAATATCGGTCTCCTTAAAAACCGATAATATCGGCGAAATATCGCCGATATTATCGATTTTTTCTTCCATGGGTAGCAGTGAAGGGATGTGACAAGGCTACAAAGTGAGCATACTTAATGAACATGTCCACTACTACAAATATCACAGACTTTCCCTTGCATAATGGTAACCCAACAATAAAATCCATGTTTATGTCATTCTAAATTTGTTGGGGAATGGGCAAGGGTTGAAGCAGTCCAAGTGGTGATATTGTCTCGTACTTGTTCTGTTGACAGATTTGGCATTCTGCCACAAAAGCTTTAATATCCTTCTTGAGACCTTGCCAATAGAAACCCTTTTTGATTATCTGATATGTCTTCAGTACCCCATTGTGTCCTGCAGCAAGATTAGTATGAAGTTCATTCATAATTTTTGCTTTCCATGGTGATCGAGGGCTAAGCACCATTCTTGACTTGTACTTAAGAAGGCCATTATCAACCTTGTATTTGTGGTTACTGTCATTAGTAGTAGGACAAGAAGAATTTGCCTTGAGGGACTGTATTTTAGACTGAATCCAATCATCTTTCTCATTACTCATTGTCAAATCATCTAACACCCAAAGTAGGGTAAGAAATAGCTAGGCAGTTCATATTTGTACTTGGTTCTACTTCTACTCTATCATTTTGATCAGGTGGGTCTTGGAGCCTAGAAAGGGCATCAGTTACCAAATTCTCAAAACCCTTTCTATAATGGATCTCATAATCAGACCCAAGCAACTTTAAAACCCATTTTTGTTAGAATGGGGTACTTGCTCTCTGACTTAAGAAGTACTTAAGGCTGTTGTGATCTGTCCTTATAATAAAATGCCTTCCTTGCAAGTAATTTTGCCATTTTTTTATGGCATGCACAATAGCAATTAACTCTTTCTCATAGATGGACAAGGTCTGATTCTTGGGTTCCAATGACTGATTAGTGAAAGTTATTGGCTTCCCTTGTTGTTGGAGCACTGCACCAATACCAACATCAGATGCATCACACTTAATCTCAAATGTTAGAGAGAAATCAGGTAATGCCAACACCTGCGGAGATGACATAGTTTCTTTAAGAGTTTGAAAGGCCTTGGTTGCTTCAGTTGTCCATATGAAATTATCTTTCTTAGTGAGCTGGTGTAATGGATGGTAGATCATGTCATACCCTGGAACAAATTTCTTATAGTACCCTGTGAGTCTTAAAAAACCTCTAAATGTCTTGACAATGGTGGGAATAGGCCAGTCCTTGATTGATTGAGTTTTGGAGGAGCTTCTACCTCATTCCTTGAGACAATATGTCCCAAGTACTCAATTTTGTTTTGTCCAAATGCACATTTATGCTTTTTTACATAGAGGTGATGTTGTTTTAATAAACTGAAAGTGACCTGCAAGTGATATATGTGATCCTCCCAAGACTTGCTATATATCAAATGTCATCAAAGAACACTAAAATGAAGTGTCTCAGGTGAGGCTTAAAGATATCATTCATAAGGTTTTGAAAAGTAGCAGTGCATTGGTTAAACCAAAAGGCATTACAAATGAACTTATAGTGCCCCTCATGAGTCCTAAATGATGTTTTAAGTATTTGGTGGTCCCAGACCTGAGATCTAGCTTAGAAAAATACTAAGCACCACTGAGTTCATCTAAGAGATCATCAATAAAGGGTATAGGGTACTTGTCTTTGATAGTGAAGGAATTAAGTTCCCTATAGTCCATGCAAAGCCTACAAGTTCTTTCTTTTTTCTTGACTAAAAGAACTGGACAAGAGAAGGGACTGTGACTAGCCCTAATAAAGCCAGCATCTAGTAATTCTTGCACTGCCTTTTCAATTTCGGTTTTTTGGAGAGGGCCATAATGATAGTGCCTGATATTGGTTGGTTTAGCACCAGGGACAAGAAAAATTTGATGGTCATAAGGCCTAGAAGATGGCAATTGAGATGGTAAGGAAAAAATGGAAGAGAAGTGTCCCATTAAATCTTGCAATTCCCTTAGCTAAACTTGGTTAAGATCACAGGCTTCTAATTTCTTGGACTCCAAGGAATATAAGAATAGCCCAAGATTATAGCTGTGCATTTCCTTATCAATATGTTATAGGGAAACCTCCTAAATCAAGGGTAAAGCTCCTTAAATGTGAACAAGTTTGTACTGCACATTATCATTGTGGAATTCAAGTGTCATTAACTGAAAATCCTAAAGGACTGGACTAATGGAAGATAACCAGTGTACTCCCAAGACAATATCACAGCCCCCTAAGGAATGGCATATAGATCCACAGTACAAGTATATGCTGCAAGAGACAATGGTGTGCTAGGACAATAACATGAACCTCTAATTTTTCCCCCATCTGTAATCATGACTTCAAAGGCAGAAGTGGTATGCGGTTGCCAACCCAATTTTTTAAGTAATCGAGAATCCACAAAGTTGTGGGTGCTACCAGAATCAAGCAGAATTGTAACACTGTGTCCCTTGAGTAGCCTCCCCACTTTCATAGTGTGCATAGGTTGCTTAGCAGAGGTGCCATAATAAGCACTCACTGAGTTCCATTAGGTTAATGGTTAGGGGTTGGTTAAAGGTCGTCTAGGCTGGTATCTACCTCCTCTTAGGGTTGTACAAGGTCAAGCATAAGTAACTGTTTGATATGGCATTTATGCCCCCGAGTCCACTTATCATCACAAAACCAACAATCCCTTATTTCACGTTTTTTTTTCTTCTGAATTTCCTCATGGGAAAGCCTCTTAATAGGGAAATTTGGTGCCCAATGCGATGGTGGTGGAGGATTGGGGGTAGTAGGAGATCGAAAAGTGGGAGTAGGTTTGGTATAACCAGATTTCAGAGTAGCAAATTTAGCATCCAATTGAACATATAAGGCAATAACATCATGCACAATGTTAGGGCGCAATAACTTGACATCATACATAAGTTCACGCTTAAGGCCACCAATAAAACAAGAGTAAATTGTAGTAATGGTCCCTCAACTTTAATCAAATTGTAGCAATGGTCCCTTAACTAAAAATACATTACCATTGGTCCCTCAACTCATCAAAATGTGTAGCTATGGTCATTTTCATCAACTTTGTCAAAATTTTGTCAAAATGAGTTATGTTGGAAGGACCATTGCTACAATTGGGGTCCTCAACTCATCAAAACGTGTAGCTATGGTCCTTTTCGTCAACTTCGTCCGAATTTTGTCAAAACGAGTTATGTTGGAATGACCATTGCTACAATTGGGTTAAAGTTGAGGGGCCATTTCTCCAGTGGATTAAAGTTGAGGGACCATAGCTACACGTTTTGATAAGTTGAGGGACCAATGTTAATGAAATTTTAGTTGAGGGATCATTGCTACCATTTAGTCATAAAACAACTCTTAGGCAAAACTGGACCAAGATCAGAGGTGCGATTTGCCAATTGGCGAAATTCGAGTATATAGTCCTGGAGTGTACCTGACTGTCGAAGTTTAAAGAGAGCCTCAGCACTATCTTCAAAGTCACTGGGGCCAAATTCGCGGCAAACAGTCCTGGAGTATACCTGAATCCGGTAGCTCAACCTCGACAAGTTGCAGTAATGGAGGATAAACCAAAGGAGGAAGAAGAGCACAGAAAATGTGCTTGATATATTTTTAATAATTTTCGTTTTCAAATAACCATTACAAAAGCAAAGAAGCCATTGCTTCATTTAAAGCGTCTGGGCCACAAAGGGCCAGCTCAACATTCCACCAACAACTTTTGACAAAATGGCAAAACAAGCAAATAAAGGCTAACAACCAAATTACTTAGTGATCAAGCATTCACTAATTCGAAGAGCCCAACATCACTCACCCCTTATGACAACCTTGGCGTTCTCAGCAGCATCATCCAACCGGTGTATCAGCATTTGGACCCCAGCTGCTTGTCTCTTCTTATATATCCTTCGGGGCCAATACCTGCATGAGGCACTGAGGGATTAAGCATTCACTAATTCGAAGACCCCAACAGGAGACCGCGAGCAGAGCGAGATCGAAATGCGGAAAGCCAGAGAGGATCTCGAGCGTCGGATTCAGGACGATCAGGTCGCGAGGGAGATCATGAGGATTCCGGAGGAGGAGTGGGAGGAGTCCGGCGAATTCTTCTCCAAGCCGTTCGGCGAAGGATCATCCTCGTCGTCAGCGTCGGCGAAGAGCGTCGAGGGCGAGAGCGTATTCAGGCTATACTTCAAGGGTTTGGTGAGCGAGGAAAGGGTTGGGAAGGAGAGGGCGGCACTGGCAGGAATTGGGGTGGCGCTGTGCGATCCAAGGGACAATTTGTTGTTCGAGGTCAGGAAGCCGCTGATTGGGAGCGGGACGAGCAGCAGTGGGGCCCAGCTGAAGGCCTTGATCGAAGGGCTGAATGCTGCTCTTGCTTTGGATTTGAAGCGCCTCACCTTCTTCTGTGAGAATCGCCACATTTTCCAGTTTGTGAGTTGCTCTCTTCTCTTTATCTGCGTCTCTGTTGTGGGTTTTTGATGAAATGTAGTTTTTGTGGTAAATTTTAGGAATTGAATTATGGGTTTTGCGTTTCGGTACTGTTCTATCTTTGAACACTAATAAACTTTCGAAATTCGATAACGGAATGTGTAGTATCCATGGTGGACAGGATAATGCACTCACTCTGAGAAAGATTAGTTGTGTTCAGTTAATATTTGCTTAATTAAGCTTCTATACTATATTTGGTTATGGAATTTGACACTGACCATTAATAAAACTTTCGCGAAAGACGACTAAAAGAATGCAACTTGTTATGTTTAGTAGTTGCAATTTCTTGGAATTGTATGTGGGTTTTGTGAATTTCTATTTCCCATCTTGGACGATAGTTTGAACTTTCATTTTTCAGATGCACTTAATGAAATTTGATTGAACAAATTCACTGTGAGAAATTTTCTTCGTGTTCTCAGCATTTGCTTAATTAGTTGTCTGTCTTATAATTGATTATGGATTTTATGGTTTGAACTTATTAGAGGGAATGGAATATGTTGAATTATGATATGACGTAAGCAATGTTGTTTTATTTATATCGGAATCAAGAATGTTGGATCAGCTAGTTACTATGCTTGAGTCTCTTTACACCCATAAATGGAGCTTGTTGGCATTTTAAATATGTATTTTACATATGCAGATAACTGGTAAATGGACAGCAAAGCAGCGCAAGGTAGCAATGCTTGTCAGTCAGGTTAAGAGCCTTCAAGCAAAGTTTGCAGTTTGCAACCCAATGCTTGTGCCCCGATTTGATATTAAATTTGCATTTAAACTAGCAAGAGATGCAATAGATTCTCAGTCTCAGACTAATCAGTCTGCACAATCTATCACTTCCAAGAATGTGAATGAGACTTGCGTGATATGTTTGGAAGCTACTGATGTTAACCAAATGTTTTCGGTTGATGGCTGCCTGCATCGGTATTGCTTTTCTTGTATGAAGCAACATGTAGAGGTGAAGTTGCTTCATGGGATGATTCCTAGATGCCCTCATGAAGACTGTAAGTCTGATCTTACTGTTGATAGTTGTGCAAAATTCTTGACACCGAAACATGTGGAGACCATGCGCCAACGCATAAAGGAAGCTTCAATTCCTGCCACAGAGAAAGTTTATTGCCCGTACCCAAGGTGCTCCGCTTTAATGTCAAAACATGAACTTTTACAAGACGTGAAATCGCGGGATGTGGAATTATCAGGAGTTCGAAAATGCTTGAAATGTCAGTGCCTTTTTTGTATCAACTGTAAAGTCCCTTGGCACAGAAACAGAACATGCACCGACTACAAAAGGTTGACTCCTCATCCCTCAGAAGATACAAAGCTAAAGTCTCTTGCCTCAACGAATCTGTGGCGCCAGTGTGTGAAGTGCAACCATATGATTGAACTTGCTGAAGGTTGCTACCACATGACTTGCAGGTATTTACTTTTTAATATTATTTTCAGTAAATTAAAAACCTGAGAGAATAAGATTTGTTGTAACATTACAATTTGTTGCTGTTTTTGAGGTGTTGCACGCACAATTGATGTCATAACTCGAAAATTAAAAGGTCATACCTTTGGCTGTTATATGAAAACTGTTGTATTGTATCGTAATAGAAAATTTGAAAGCTGTTGTATCAAGTTTGCAAGCAACTCTATCTACGTCATCTTATTACTCATCCTAATGCACTGATCTCTTTTGCAGGTGCGGGCATGAGTTTTGTTATAATTGTGGAGGCGAGTGGAAAGACAAAAAGGCAACATGCTCATGCCCACTATGGGATGAGGGTAATATTTTGTATGATGAAGATGATGAAGATTTTGATTTTGATGAAGAGGATGTGTTAGAGTCAGATTCTGAGAGGTATATGATTCTGACTCAGTCATAATGTTCTAACATCCCCCTCTCTAAAGAGGCCTTCCCTCAAATTTTCTCTGTTCGGAACATATTTTATAATATTTACAACAACAACAACAAAGCCTTTTTCCACTAAGTGGGGTCGGCTATATGAATCCTAGAACGCCATTGCGCTCGGTTTTGTGTCCTGTCCTCCGTTAGATCCAAGTACTCAAGTCTTTTCTTAGGGTCTCTTCCAAAGTTTTCCTAGGTCTTCCTCTACCCCTTCGGCCCTGAACCTCTGTCCCGTAGTCACATTTTCGAACCGGAGCATGAGTAGGACTTCTTTGCACATGTCCAAACCACCGGAACCGATTTTCTCTCATATTTCCTTCAATTTTGGCTACTCCTACTTTACCTCGGATATCCTCATTCCCAATCTTATCCTTTCTCGTGTGCCCATACATCCCACGAAGCATCCTCATCTCCGCTACACCCATTTTGTGTACGTGTTGATGCTTCACCGCCCAATATTCTGTGCCATACATCGCTGGCCTTATTGCCATCCTATAAAATTTTCTCTTGAGCTTCAGTGGCCTACGACGGTCACACAACACGCCGGATGCACTCTTACACTTCATCCATCCAGCTTGTATTCTATGGTTGAGATCTCCATCTAATTCTCCGTTCTCTTGCAAGATAGATCCTAGGTAGCGAAAACGGTCACTTTTTGTGATCTTCGCTAGATTGCTCCGGTCATTAGTGTGGATAAGTATATAAATGGATAGAGATAGGAAAGCAAACACAAGATGTACGTGGTTCACCCAGATTGGCTACGTCCACGGAATAGAGGAGTTCTCATTAATTGTGAAGGGTTTACACAAGTACATAGGTTCAGGCTCTCCTTTAGTGAGTACAAGTGAATGATTTAGTACAAATGATATTAGGAAATATTGTGGGAGAATGATCTCGTAGCCACGAAACTTCTAAGTACCGGAGTGTGGTATCGTCTTGACTTGCCTTATCTGTCTCATAGGTAGATGTGGCATCTTCTCTGGAAGTACTCTTCCTCCCTCCAGGGGTGGTATCTGTAACTGATGGAGATGCACAAGGTAATGTATCAATTTCACTTGAAGCTTACTTGTAGTTTCATGCTTGGTCAAGCGCGATACAAACCATGTAGTAGGAGTCCCCCAAGTTGCCGAGCTAGGGGATCTGCTGAAAGAGGTGACAGACAAGGTAAGCAATCAGAGCTCCGGCTGATTGTTCACATTCTCCCTATCTTGCAGGCAGCATGAAGGATAAAGAGAAGAAAAATGAGAAGAGATGATATGGGATACTTTTGCTTTTGAAGAAGTAACTTTCCACAGGCTTATTCTTGAACTGGGCTGGAGGGTTTTCTGGTTTCCTCCAGAGTATAAGGCCGACTGAAGAATTTGAGGGTCAAAACAAGTCCATCAAATCTAGAGTACGTTCGACCCTACTGATATGGGATACTTTTGCTTTTGACAGAGTAGTGGATGTATCGGCACGTGTGCTGTTACGCTTGTCTCCACATGCTTCCTTGTATCCTTCTCACTTGCCCTATCTGTTCCTCAGGCAGATGCGGTATCTTCCCTGGAAGCATAAGATGTTGAAGATGAGTACTCGAGAGCAATGCCAGGTAAGTAATCAGGTAAGGGTTCCAGGCAGTCAGTTCCTGGTTGGAAGCTTGATTCCAAGTGCTGACTGATTGCTCTCTTTCTCCTTGTCTTACAGGTAAGAACAAGGCCAAGGGAAAAGACAGGGAAAAAGCATGATATGGGATACTCTTGCTTTTAACCCTGATGATATGAGATATTCTTGCTCTAGTATAGCTTGTTTACAGAGGTATTATCGGGGGGAAAGAAAGCTGAATATTTCGAAAGGCTTCGTTGGGAGTGCCCTCTCAGATAGGAGAAAGGGTTGAGCATTTTTGCAGGTCTGCCTGTCCGTTAGGGATGGAGGTCGACATATATAGGAGTCTCCCTAACATCAAGTAATAATGCTATTCCTTTACCCTGCTTGGTCATAGCACGGTAGTGGGAGCTGCCAGCTTCACATGTTTTAACTCTGTCAGAGCACTTTGAAAAAGTGGTCTGTGGTATCTGGAAAGCTGATGTTGCGTGTGAAGATTACAGACAATCTTTATCCAAGGAGATCCAGCTCTTGAAGTTGGGAAAGTGGTGTCTCTTCGGTTTTCGAACAAGCAATCCTGTCGGGGATCTGGCTCTCGAGATTCGGAGAACGATGCATCTTCGATTTTTGAGAAAGCAATCCTGCTGGGGGTCTGGCTCTCGAGATTCGGAGAGCGGTGTCTCTTCGATTTTTGAGAAAGTAATCATGTTGGGAGTCTGGCTTTCGGGATTCGGAGGGCGGTGCCTCTTCGATTTTGGAGCAAGCAATCTTGTTGGGAGTGTTTTCTCGAATGTGAGTAAAGGTTGGGCATGTTTGCTAGTCTACCTTGCCACGAAGCACAGAGGTTGACACACAGGGACTTTCCAATTATCCAGCAGTGGTACTGTTCCTTTACCCTCTCTTCGATTTTTGAGAAAGTAATCCTGTTGGGAGTCTGGCTCTCGAGATTCGGAGGGCGGTGCCTCTTCGATTTTGGAGCAAGCAATCTTGTTGGGAGTGTTTTTCTCGAATGTGAGTAAAGGTTGGGCATGTTTGCTAGTCTACCTTGCCACGAAGCACAAAGGTTGACACACAGGGACTTTCCAATTATCCAGCAGTGGTACTGTTCCTTTACCCTCTCTTCGATTTTTTGAGAAAGTAATCATGTTGGGAGTCTGGCTCTCGAGATTCGGAGGGCGGTGCCTCTTCAATTTTGGAGCAAGCAATCTTGTTGGGAGTGTTTTCTCGAATGTGAGTAAAGGTTGGGCATGTTTGCTAGTCTACCTTGCCACGAAGCACAGAGGTTGACACACCGGGACTTTCCAATTATCCAGCAGTGGTACTGTTCCTTTACCCTTGTGGGTAATAATATGGTAGCTAGACCTTCAAAATTTATGTGTCTAAACTTTGTTAGTGTTGTTTCTTTGCAATTCTTTTACCCTTCTTGGTCAGAGCGATGTAGTGGAAGCTGCAAGCTTCACGTGTCTCAACTTTGTCAGAGAACTTTGGCAAAGTTATCTGTGGTACCCATGAGCTACTGTTGCGTGTAGGAAGTGGGTGATTGAACAGTACGATTCATGTGCTTTCTACTTCGCCAGAAATCTTCGACAGAATGCCCATAATTTCCGCAAAGCTGAGTGTGCGTGTGACAGGTGCTGACAAGGCTGGAAAAGTAGGTGCCTCTTCGATTTCTGAGATCGGCCCTCGTGGTCTCTGAGCAGCCCAACTTTTGAGAAAGCAAGCCTCTTCGATTTCTGGGATCGGCCTTCGTGGTCTTTGAGCAGCCCAGCTTTTGAGAAAGCAAACGCCTCTTCGATTTCTGAGATCGACCCTCGTGGTCTCTGAGCAGCCCAGCTTTTGAGAAAGCAAATGCCTCTTCGATTTCTGAGCAGGCGCCTCTTCGATTTCTGAAGCTTCGTCGAGTGCAGATTTTTATAGGGGCTGACATTAAGTTCCAAAGCACACTTGAATATCCACCAGTAGAAGCTCCGTTCTTGCACTTCTAAGATCTTGATTTGTCCGACCTCTTCTCTCTTCAACACCTTTGAAAATGTCTGGCCCCTCCGACCGTCGTTTTGACTTGAACCTTGTTGAAGAGGCAGCCCCGCCTTCTCCAGACAACATATGGCGCCCATCCTTCGTCTCCCCTACTGGTCCTCTTACCGTTGGGGATTCCGTGATGAAGAATGATATGACCGCTGCGGTAGTGGCCAGGAACCTTCTCACTCCCAAAGATAACAGACTACTTTCCAAACGGTCTGATGAGTTGTCTGTTAAGGATTCTCTGGCTCTCAGTGTTCAGTGTGCAGGTTCTGTGTCTAATATGGCCCAACGCCTATTTGCTCGAACCCGCCAAGTTGAATCATTGGCGGCTGAAGTGATGAGTCTCAAACAGGAGATTAGAGGGCTCAAGCATGAGAATAAACAGTTGCACCGGCTCGCACATGACTATGCTACAAACATGAAGAGGAAGCTTGACCAGATGAAGGAATCTGATGGTCAGGTTTTACTTGATCATCAGAGATTTGTGGGTTTGTTCCAAAGGCATTTATTGCCTTCGTCTTCTGGGGCTGTACCGCGTGATGAAGCTCCAAATGATCAACCTCTGATGCCTCCTCCTTCTAGGGTTTTGTCCAGTACTGAGGCTCCGAATGATCCCCCTCCGGTGCCTTCTCTTTCTGGGGCTCTACCGACTGCTGAGACTTCTCCTAAGCAACCTTTGTGAAGGCTCCCTCTTGTTTGTTTATTTTGACTCAAGTATATGTACATATTTGTAACTTATCGGGGATATCAATAAATAAGCTTTCCTTCATTTCAACGTATTGTGTTAAATACACCAAAGCCTTCTTCGCTAAGTTCTTTGAATTTTCTTTTGTTGAAGCTTGTATGTTGAACCTTGTATGTTGAAGCTTTGTGAGTGGAGCATATAGGTTGAGGTAGTGTTCCCTTAATTTCCCGAGTGAGGAAAACTTCTCGGTTGGAGACTTGGAAAATCCAAGTCACTGAGTGGGATCAGCTATATGAATCTTAGAACGCCATTGTGTTCTGTCCTGTGTCATGTCCTCCGTTAGATCCAAGTACTCTAAGTCTTTTCTTAGTGTCTCTTCCAAAGTTTTCCTAGGTCTTCCTCTACCCCTTCGGCCCTGAACCTCTGTCCCATAGTCGCATCTTCTAATCGGAGCGTCAGTAGGTCTTCTTTGCACATGTCCAAACCACCGTAACCGATTTTCTCTCATATTTCCTTCAATTTCGGCTACTCCTACTTTACCCCGGATATCCTCATTCTTAATCTTATCCTTTCTCGTGTGCCCACACATCCACCGAAGCATCCTCATCTCCGCTACACCCATTTTGTGTACGTGTTGATGCTTCACCGCCCAACATTCTGTGCCATACAGCATCGTCGGCCTTATTGCCGTCCTATAAAATTTTCCCTTGAGCTTCAGTGGCATACGGCGGTCACACAACACGCCGGATGCACTCTTCCACTTCATCCATCCAGCTTGTATTCTATGGTTGAGATCTCCATCTAATTCTCCGTTCTTTTGCAAGATAGATCCTAGGTAACGAAAACGGTCGCTCTTTGGTATTTCTTGATCTCCGATCCTCACCCCTAACTCGTTTTGGCCTCCATTTGCACTGAACTTGCACTCCATATATTCTGTCTTTGATCGGCTTCGGCGAAGACCTTTAGATTCCAACACTTCTCTCCAAAGGTTAAGTTTTGCATTTACCCCTTCCTGAGTTTCATCTATCAACACTATATCGTCTGCGAAAAGCATACACCAAGGAATATCACCTTGAATATGTCCTGTTAACTCATCCATTACCAACGCAAAAAGGTAAGGACTTAAGGATGAGCCTTGATGTAATCCTACAGTTATGGGAAAGCTTTCGGTTTGTCCTTCATGAGTTCTTACGGCAGTCTTTGCTCCTTCATACATATCCTGTATAGCTTGGATATATGCTACTCGTACTCCTTTCTTCTCTAAAATCCTCCAAAGAATGTCTCTTGGGACCCTATCATACGCTTTTTCCAAATCTATAAAGACCATGTATAAATCCTTTTTCCCATCTCTATATCTTTCCATCAATCTTCGTAAGAGATAGATTGCCTCCATGGTTGAGCGCCCTGGCATGAACCCGAATTGGTTGTCCGAAACCCGTGTCTCTTGCCTCAATCTATGCTCAATGACTCTCTCCCAGAGCTTCATTGTATGACTCATTAGCTTAATACCCCTATAGTTCATGCAATTTTGTACATCGCCCTTATTCTTGTAGATAGGCACCAAAGTGCTCATTCGCCACTCATTCGGCATCTTCTTCGTTTTCAAAATCCTATTGAAAAGGTCAGTGAGCCATGTTATACCTGTCTCTCCCAAAACTTTCCACACTTCGATTGGTATATCGTCTGGGCCTACTGCTTTTCTATGCTTCATCTTCTTCAAAGCTACAACCACTTCTTCCTTCCGGATTCTACGATAAAAAGAGTAGTTTCTACACTCTTCTGAGTTACTCAACTCCCCTAAAGAAGCACTCATTTCATGTCCTTCATTGAAAAGATTATGAAAATAACCTTTCCATCTGTCTTTAACCGCGTTCTCTGTAGCAAGAACCTTTCCATCCTCATCCTTGATGCACCTCACTTGGTTTAGGTCCCTTGTCTTCTTTTCCCTTGCTCTAGCTAGTTTATAGATATCCAACTCTCTTTCTTTGGTATCTAGTCGCTTATACATATCGTCATAAGCCGCTAACTTAGCTTCTCTCATAGCTTTCTTCGCCTCTTGCTTCGCTTTTCTATACCTTTCACCATTTTCATCGGTCTTATCCTTGTATAAGGCTTTACAACATTCCTTCTTAGCCTTCACCTTTGCTTGTACCTCCTCATTCCACCACCAAGGTTCCTTTTGGTGTGGGGCAAAGCCCTTTGACTCTCCTAATACCTCTTTTGCTACTTTTCGGATACAACTAGCCATGGAATCCCACATTTGGTTAGCTTCCCCCTCTCTATCCCACACACACTGGGTGATTACTTTCTCTTTGAAAATGGCTTGTTTTTCTTCTTTTAGATTCCACCATCTAGTCCTTGGGCACTTCCAAGTCTTGTTCTTTTTTCTCACTCTTTTGATATGTACATCCATCACCAACAAGCGATGTTGATTAGCCACGCTCTCTCCTGGTATAACTTTGCAATCCTTACAAGTTATACGATCCCTTTTCCTCATTAGAAGAAAATCTATTTGTGTTTTTGACGACCCACTCTTGTAGGTGATCACATGTTCTTCTCTCTTCTTAAAGAAGGTGTTGGCTAAGAAGAGATCATATGCCATTGCAAAATCCAAGATAGCTTCCCCATCCTCGTTTCTCTCTCCCCAAAACCATGGCCACCATGAAAACCTCCATAGTTGCCTGTCTCCCTGCCCACGTGTTCATTTAAATCTCCTCCTATAAATAATAACTTCTCCGTCTGAGCAATTCCTTGCACCAAGTCTCCAAGGTCTTCCCAAAATTTCTCCTTCGAACTCGTATCCAACCCTACTTGAGGTGCGTACGCACTAATCACATTGATAAGTTCTTGTCCTATTACAATCTTGATTGCCATGATTCTATCTCCTACCCTCTTGACATCTACAACATCTTGTGTCAAGGTCTTGTCCACGATGATGCCAACACCGTTTCTCGTTCTATTTGTGCCCGAATACCATAGTTTAAACCCTGAGTTTTCTAGATCCTTTGCCTTACGACCAACCCACTTAGTTTCTTGTAGGCACATAATATTTATCCTTCTCCTCACCATAACTTCTACTACTTCTATAGATTTTCCCGTCAAGGTTCCTATATTCCACGTTCCTAAACGCATTTTGCTCTCTTGAACTCTACCCTTCTGTCCTAGCTTCTTCACCCTTCCCCGTCTAATAGGATCAAAGTACTTCTTTTGTGTGTCCCGTGTAAAGTTGATAGGAGCATATGCTCCCAAACAACTTTGAGTAGAGTCGTTCGAAAAGAAGTTTCTATAGCCCCCTTGCTCATTTAACACTGCATCCGGGTGCCGATGGAGATACAGCGACCCTTGCTCACTTATCACTGTGCTCGGGCCACACAGCGCGCCACTTACGGGTGACGCCCTAGCTTTAGCGCGATTTCGTTCTGGATTCATTTTCATAAGGATTCGACGTGATCATGGAGTGCCGGCTGTCGACTACCTGACGCCCTCCCCCTCCTCCTTTATCCGGGCTTGGGACCGGCAATGTAAGATAAACTTACACGGCGGAGTTATATTTTATAATATTTATGTCAATATATTGTGCAAAGTATAAATCGAATTTCTTTATTTTGATTCTCAACTGCTTGTTCACAAGGTTTTTCCATCTCTTAATTATTGTAAAGAAAGGAGAACATACAGTGAAAAAAGCCTGCACTGCCACAATTGAGCTCATAAATAACGTCACAGGACAGAACGGACAGTTGATGATTACGGTGGACACACTAGGATAGTGAATATGTTTTATAATGTTTTGTGTGTTGTGTGTGTTTCAGACTGTACCATTGTTTGAGATCTGCATTTTTCTCGGTATTATGCTTATCGTAATTGAAATCTATCGAAGATCTTTTCACTTAGTTTGCAAGTAACTATGCTTATGTCATTTCGGTAATCATGTTCTTGCTGTTTTTGCTTTTGCAGACATGCTCCTTGGTTTTGCTATGACTGTGGACAGTCTACGGACTACATGGGAGCATGTTTATGCCCAGTTTTGTTTGAAGATGATATCTTGTTTGACGGAGATAGTGATACTCAGGAGTTGAAGAAAGATGAATATGAAGGTGAAGTTGAGGATGAAGGCCTAGAAGAAGACGGATATGAAGATGAAAGTGGGCAGGAGGTTCAGGAAGAGAAGCATATCTTGCCTGCTGAAGATGGTAGAGATCTTGATGAAGAATACGAGGAAGATGAGGAATTCTGTGACTCTGACTGCGAATGCTATGAAGATGAGGTTCATGAGAAAGAGGTTCGAGAGGATGTTCAGGATGAATGGTTGGAGCAAGGGCAGGAAGATGAGAACTTCTATGCGGAAAATGATATAGATTTTGGTGACGAATATGAGGAAGATGAAGAGGAGTACTGGGACTCTGACTATGAATATGAAGAGGAAGGATTTGAAGATGAAAGCGGGGAGGAGGAGGTTCAGGAAGAGAATAATATCTTGCCTGCTGAAGATGGTAGAGATCTTGATGAAGAATGTGTGGAGGATGAGGAGTTCTGTGACTCTGACTGCGAATGCTATGAAGATGAAGTTCATGAGAAAGAGGTTCGAGAGGACGTTCAGGATGAATGGTTGGAGCAAGGTCAGGAAGTTGAGAACTTTTATGCGGAAAATGATACTGATTTTGGTGACGGATATGAGGAAGATGAAGAGTACTGTGACTTTGGCTGCGACCGCGACAGTGACTGCTACGACTCTAACTCAGATTATTACTGATGAACAAAAATATGGCTGGTATTCTTTGTACGAAGTAACCTGCAGAAGGGGCAAAAAAATGGTGTTTGAAGTATCAACAAATTATTTCTTTTTGTTCTCAATTGCTTGTCCATGAGGGTTTCTGTTTGATCCGTCCGGTTTGACTTGTTTTAGTACATAAGAGAGGGAGGAAATGGTCGAATGAGGACCCTCTCCGGATCCTCTTTGTGAGAATCCTAAGGATCTTCAAATCGTGTTCGTTTATCGTATATCGTGCGGTCAGTTTTCATCAGGTATTATTCATATTTAATTATAAATAAAAGTATTTAAAATGATTTATGGTCGCACGATGTACGATAAACGGACACGATTTGAGAATTTCCGAGATCCTCACAAAGAGGTTCCTCATTCAACAGAGATGAAAAAATAGAAAAGAATTGGGAGATAAAAGGAAGCAGAGTACATAAAGAGCTTTTATATTGGAAAAAAAGCTTTTATTTTGAGAGTAAGATTCTCTCTTCTCCTATTACCATCATTATCCGTCCTTTCTTTTCACACTTTTCTTTTTGTCTTTTTCTCTATATAAAAAATTCAAACAAAATGTTGACTCGATTTAATCGTAACTGTTTAAATAGGAATGAAAGGGAGAGAGAATCCTACTCTTTTATTTTGTAAGGCTTTTTCAGCAAGTTTTCTTTAGTAATACGTGCAATAGAAAACGTGAATAGCTATAAAATAGAAGATTTACTTGTTGTGAAAGTCAAATTCAACTGCTAAAACGTGAATAGTTAAATTTTAATTTTAAATTGTCTTTTTTACCATATTGCATAATTGCTATCAAGTACAAAATGATATTACAATAAAATTAAAATTTATCAATAAACTCACACTCAATAATTAAACCCTATCATTAGCAATCTTTATCTTCCGTTCATCTTGGCTAAAACCAAGAGCTCTCATAAAGAAAAACAAGCTCTTTTTGATCCATGGATGATGATTTTGAAGTTTTGAATCTTCTAACTAAAGCATGAATCGATTTATGCAAGTTTTTTTCGTTTGTTTTCAAATTTTTTTAGAGTTTAGAAACAAGAATCAATGATTGTGGAGTTTCTTGAGAATTTTCATCTTTTACTTCTCAATAATAGTTACAAATTCGCAAGAAAGCATCATTCTACGTTGTCTGCACTAAAATAGCAATAACGTCTCCTAGAAATATTAGAATCACGAACCGTAAAATTCTCCATAAACTAGATGTCCAGATCTTTCCCAACATATAAGGCTCAAATTTGGTTTGTCTCGAGGAAGTACAGTTTAATATTCAAACTTCACAGATATGTACAATAAATCTTTGATTTTGGGATGTCTAAACTAAAATAGCAATAATGTCTTTTAGAATCAAAATCACGAACTGTAATTTTAGGGCAATGCTAAGGGATCATCTATTTAAATCATGTTTTGTAAATTATATGATGTGGATGGAGCCAAAATTGTGACGACCCGTCCCTAATTTTATGTTTTTACAAATTTTAAAAGCATTATTTTACGAAAATGCCCTAGAGGTGAGGGTATTGACTTTCGTTGACCAACGTTTAGTGAGACATACGACTTATTCTTTTAGCGTATTTGCGTAGTATCCAGTGATACGAATGCATAGACTCAAGAGGAAGTGAATTTGGAGCTACGGTTAAAGTTTTACGAAACTATATCTGAAAAGTACGTTTCTAAGGTTTTCCATTTATTATTTTATGTATTTCATAAGTATTATTATATTAGTTTAAGGTTATTTAGAGAAAAAAGTGACTGGGCAGAACTGCCCAATCGGAGACAGAAGGAACGAATCAGAAGAAAGGAGGAAAAGGGAATAACCAACCAGAGAGGAAAGGAAGGAGGGAAATGAGAGAGGGAGGGGATTCGAACCCCCTCGACCCTGAAAGTCCTTAGACCTGCTTGTCGGCTCGGTTTCTAGGCAAAGAAATTCGACAAGTTTTCAATGAAATTCCGGCGAATTAAGTCGAGTTTCCACCTGGAAACCTCTCACCATCGTTCCACCTTCCTTTATCATACAAAAATGGGGTTGTTTGGGCTCGATTTTGGAAGAATCGAAGTCGTGGGCTTAGAGGACACCCGGCGACAATTCGCCCTTTTTTGCAACCATTCCCGTTGATCTCCACCATCAAAGAACTTCTCTGGAGGCCAGGAACAAAGCCCAAACAGTTTTAGGGGCAGTGGTGTTGCGGATTAATCGAATTGAAGAACACCCAAATTCTAAGGTTCCAGCGGTTCGTGGGTGATTTTAGATGTTTCCCAGCTAAATTAGACTTGGCCACATGTATAAAGTTTACTCTACTCATTGAGACCTACAATTATGTAAAATTTGATAATTTTTAGAAATAGTTGACTTTTCCAGCGAGTTAAAATGGCCGACCGCCACCCACGGCAGCGCGTGGCCAGCGGACTATTGATGCTACTTTTAGGCCAAATTAGATATCTGAAATTCAATTATGATATTCATATAACGTAGGTTGATCATTTGAACCTAAATGCATTACGTTACTTAGTAAAAATGTGAATCGACGATCCGATTGTTGGATCGTTACCAAACTTTAATATGTTATAGTACGTAATATCTGAGGATCATAGGAACTTATGGATCAGGAATCCGATATACGGATCTTCCCGAATTGAATTTGTAAGTCCATAAAATAAAATGTTAACCGCCACTTGGTTTTAGCAATTGGCAGAGATCCGACCGTTGGATCGTTTCGAAACTTTAGGATGTGTTCTAAAAGTATAATGTGGATCTTTGGAAGTAACGGATCGAAAATTGAAGATGCAGATCTTCCGAATCAAACTACGTAGGGATGTGTTTTATGTTAGTTACTTATTCTATCGATAAGATTTCTTAGACATGATTTGATAATTGTTCTAGGTGCTAATTGTTCATGACGCCTTGATGTGTGTGCTAGGGGGTTGTAGTGGGGAATCCAGGTGAGTGAGCTTTTGGTTTTCAGTATATGTATATATGCTTGGTATTTTTCCTAGAAACCTTATTTAAATGGTTTTATGTTTTGAAATGCCATGCCAAATGTTTCATACTTAGAATATGCATTTTAGTAGTTGCATATATTATGGTTGATGCTGTGGACACTCAGGTAAGCTTCAGGTAAGTATATATTGATGGTAGTGATGGTAGTGAGTATGATTGTGTTGAGATGCATTTATAGCTCATTTTCCTGCACCCCGGTGTTAGTGCTCTACTTGAGGACAAGGCCTAGCCTTCACGTGATCTTTCACCTCCCGCACCACTTGCTCACCTTGGATCCAAGGCAGGTGTCAACCTGTCGTACATACCACATTAGGTGGTTCCGACTCGTAGGTGACTTGCGATACTTCGCATAGCCTTCACGTGATCGTAACACTTGAGGGTATTTATTTACACCCAGTCTGTCGTACAGACCACATGAGGTGGTTTCGACTCATGTGCAGGGAATGAGTTGAGGAGCTATAGACTCAGTCGTACAGGTCACGTTATGTGACTCCGGCTTGCATACCATTTCATATTGATTTATTTCACCTGGCATACTTATTTCTTTGCTAAGATATTTGACATGGCATATTTGGGGATTTCTTATTTTGAGTACGGTTTTGAGATAGATATGCATGCTATTTTCTGGGAAATTATACAGGTTTTACAGCGAGGGGTTACTACCTTTGGTAATGGAAATGGTTTTTGAAAAGCTTTGTTTTTGTCCACTCACACTTTCTGTTTTGCGCCCCTCCAGGTTTTAATTGCTAAAAGTTTGTATCGACGAGGATTCTGGGCAAATATCAGGATAGGTGGCTACTTTTGAGGGTACAATCCCTATCCATTCTACTGTACTTACTTATTGTCACAGCCCATCCCAAAAATTCAGTTATCGTGGGTGTGAAATGATAGAATTGCCCTTAGCGGTTGCTGAGGTATGTGTGACATATTATTTGATGTGCATACTTTTCTAAATTTTGGAAATTTAATTGGATTAAAATTGTATGCATTTTTTTTATCTGGTTAGGGACTTCGGTGGACCACATACCCTCACCATCTAACTCCTTTCTCTCTCCTATCCCGTGCCCTGTCTCTCTCTTCCCTCCCAGTTGCTTTCTTTCTCTCTCTCTCGAACCGTACGGACAAGAACCCAAAATCCCTCAAAACATCACAGATCGACGCCAATAAGGTGAGTTTCTTCATCCTTACAACCTCCTGAGTTGAATGGTACCATTTTTGGAACTTAGAATCTTCAAAATCATGTGAAATCCAAACCCCAGTTTGATGTCACTATTCATGCACACGTGAATTGTTGATTTTCAGGGAATTCTAAGCTTACAGGGAGCTTAGTGAGGTTCCAAGGAAGCTCAGAGTACTTAGTTTGAAGGTTTTGGACGTCGGGATCGTAGGGTTCGAAGTTGGCCGGTTTTCTTGGATTTTCTCCGGTGAGATTTCGTAATTTTTAGAGCCTTAAACTAGTACAACGTGATTCTACATGCTTAGGGCTTCATTTTGATATAAAATGCGTAGAAAATGGTGGAGAAATGACGGAGAACAAGGAGATTGAAAAATCTCCAGTTTTTCGGCGCCGGCGAAACCAATCCGGCGACTGGAGGAAGAAGATGACGCGCGTGGGTCCGTGCCCCTCCCGGCACGTGGGGGCGCGTGGCAAGTCCAAAATTTTTTCTAAAAATATCTCGACGTCCGTGACGTCGAGTAGGTCACCATGGTATATTCATATACCCAAATTGAGCATCGTATGAGAAGTTATTACGTATTGTTGGTTATGCGCTTTAAATAATGTTTTTATAGTTGTTTCGCATATAGATGATACCTATCCCGAGGACGAGCGCATTCAAGGACGTCACGGGGGTTACGACCCTTCGACTTACCAGTGAGTGGGCAGTATTTTCTATATTTACCTATATACTATTGATTTTTCCCAGAAATTTAATTTAAATGAAAGTGTGTTTTACAATGCCATGCATGCATATTATGAAATATGTGAATTAGTATTTGATGCATATATATGTGAATTGGTGTTGTGGACACATAGGTGAGTATCAGGTGAGTTTTATATTAATCATGTGATTTAAGGCTGGTTTGGTATTGCTGTGCTTTGAAAAAAAAAACTGATGTGAGAATAAGCGGCTGTGAAATAAATCAGCAGAGTGTTTGGTAAATTTTTTTGTAAAAATGCTTTTGGAAAGAAAAAAAAGCAGTCTGATAGTGGGTCTTTTCATTAAAGGAGCATTGTAGCTCCGTGTGCTTTGAAAAAAAACCAGTTTTCCATAGCTGCAAATAGCAGCTTC